TTTGGGGTTTGGAGGGGCTCGGGGGTCATTGGGGTGAGGGGGGTCGGGGGTTATTGGGGTCTGGGGGCTACTGGGGTACAGGGCAATGAGGGTTTTGGGGTGCAGTTAGGGGTGGGCACTACTGGGGTGCAGTTTTGGGGTGCAATTAGGGGTGGGGGCTATTGGGGTGCAGTTTTGGGGTGCAGGGGAGGTTGGGTTATTGGGGTGCACTTGGGCTGGTGGTTTTTTTTTGAGGCCTGAAGATTATTGGGGTGCAGTTCGTGGGTGTGCAGGGCACCTGGGGGGGTTACTGGGCTGCAATAGGGCCGGGGATTATTGGGGTGCAGTTCATAGGGTGTGGTGGGGTTGGAGATTGGGGGGTGCAGGGGGATTTGGGGTGCAGGTACTGGGGTGCAATTAGGGGTGGGCACTATTGGGGTGCAGTTCTGTAATTACTGAGGCGCAGTTGATTGGGGTCTGTGGGGCAGTGGTTATTGGGGTACAATCAGCGGTGGGAGTTTTTGGGGTGCAGTTTATGGGGTGCCATTACTTTTGGGGGTGCATTTATTGGACCGCCATCAATTACAGAAATTATTAGGGTGCAGTTTTGGGGTGCAGATTTGGGGTACAATCAATCCGTGTTCCTGTGGGGTGCAAAACCCCCTTTTCCCAACCCCTTTTTGGGGTCCCCTGACCCCAATCCCCCCTCCACAGGTGCTCTGGACGACTTCGAGCGCAGCCGCCCCACGCCCCCTCCCCCTGCCAGCTCCTCCTCTCCCCCCTCCCCTCCCTCCGACTCCGCCGAGGTGGGACCCCCCAAAACCCCGTTTTGCCCCCGTTTCGGGGCCGTGTGGCCGCGCTGACCCCGCGCCCAGGGCTCGCTGTTCTCCTCGCAGGAGAGGTTCTTCCAGGAGCTCTTCGAGGGCGAGCTGGCGGCGCAGGCGGCGGCCGAGTTCCAGGAGGCCATGCAGGAGCTGGCCCGGCAGGAGCCACAGCTCGTGGAGCAGTTCCAGAAGCTCTCGGAAGCTGCAGGAAAAGTCGGTGGGTGGGTTGGGAAAGTGGGGATCCCACTCCAGGACGGCCCTGGGCACCTCATGCTTGTGGCTGTTCCTGATCCGTGTTCCTGATCCTCTGCCCTGTTCCGTGTCCCTGTTCCTGGTCCTTGTCCCTGTTCCATGTTTCCAATCCCAGTCCCTGTTCCCTGTCACGTTTCCTGGTCCCAGTCCCAGTCCCTGATCCCAGTCCCTGGAGGGGTTCATGTTCCAGTTCCCCTTTTCCCAGTCCCTGTTCCTGATCCCAATCCCTGTTCCTGATCCCAGTCCCTGATCCCAATCCCTGATCCCAGTCCCTGGAGGGGTTCATGTTCCAGTTCCCCTTTTCCCAGTCCCTGTTCCTGATCCCAATCCCTGTTCCTGATCCCAGTCCCTGATCCCAATCCCTGATCCCAGTCCCTGGAGGGGTTCATGTTCCAGTTTCCCTTTTCCCTGTCCCTGTTCCTGATCCCAATCCCCGTTCCTGATCCCAGTCCCAATCCCATTCCCAGTCCCATTCCCAATCCCACTTGTGATCAGGGCCAGCAGGACTCCTCATTATCCCCATTCCCAATCCCATTCCCGATCCCATTCCCAACCCCACAGGCAGCGACGCGGCCTCGCAGCAGGAATTCACCTCCTGCCTCAAGGAGACCCTGAGCGGGCTGGCCAAGAACGCCAATGACCTGCAGGTATTCCCACCCCTTTCCCGGGATCCTGGGGGGGCTCTCCCGGCATTCCGGGGGTCCCGGGGGGCTCACGGGGGGATCCCACAGAATTCCCCGGGCTCGGAGGAGGAGCTGGCGAAGGCCCTGGAGGGGCTGGGGCTGGAGGAGGGCGGCGGGGACGGCGTCCTGCCCGTCATGCGCAGCATCATGGAGTCCCTGCTGTCCAAGGACGTGCTCTACCCCTCCCTCAAGGAGATCACCGAGAAGGTGGGACCCTAAAAATTTTGGGGAGGGGACCCCAAAAAACCCCCCCAGAACTCGGGGTGTCCCTTGGGGCATGGGAAATGTGGGGGACGTGGGGACATGGGGCGGTCCCTGCTGGCCACGTGCTCTACGCCTCCCTCAGGGAGGTCACCGAGAAGGTGGGACCCCAAAAATTTGGGGAGGGGACCCCAAAAAAATCTGGGGGAGAGCCCACATTTTTTTGGGGGGTTTCCCTAAAATCCTGGAGGGATCTTTTGGGGTGTGGGAAACTTGTGGGGGCATCATGGAGTCCCTGCTGTCCAAAGACGTGCTCTACCCCTCCCTCAAGGAGATCACCGACAAGGTGGGACCCCAAAAATTTTGGGGAGGGGACCCCAAAAAACCCCCCCAGAACTCGGGGTGTCCCTTGGGGCGTGGGAAGTGTAGGGGTCATGGGGACATGGGGCAGTCCCTGTCACCCCCAGGGTGTCCCTGACCCTTTTGGGGTGTATTGGGGGTTCCCCCCTGTCCCCAGTGTCTGTCCCTGTCACCCCCAGGGTGTCCCTGTCCCTTTTGGGGTGTATTGGGGGTTCCCCCGTGTCCCTGGGGTCTGTCCCTGTCACCCCCAGAGTGTCCCTGTCCCTTTTGGGGTGTACTGGGAACTCTGTCCTGTCCCCAGGGTTGGTCCTTCGGGTTCCCCCCTGTCCCCGGGGTCTGTCCCTGTCACCCCCAGGGTGTCCCTGTCCCTTTTGGGGTGTATTGGGAACTCTCTCCTGTCCCCAGGATCTGTCCCTGTCACCCCCAGGGTGTCCCTGTCCCTTTTGGGGTGTATTGGGAACTCTCCCCTGTCCCCAGGGTTGGTCTTGGGGTTCCCCCACATCCCCAGGGTCTGTCCCTGTCACCCCCAGGCCCTCACTGGGCCATTCCCCGGGGATCCCGGGGTGTCCCACGGGGGTGTCCCACGGGGGGTGTCCCCCGGGGTGTCCCTCGGCGGTTCCCTCGCTGTCCCCTCAGCGTCCCCCGCGTGTCCCCAGTACCCGGAGTGGCTGCGGCAGCACGAGGCGTCGCTGTCCCCGGAGCAGCGGCAGCGCTTCGTGGCGCAGCAGGCGCTGATGCTGCGGATCTGCGCGGAGCTGGAGCGGGAGCGGCCGGGGGAGCCCGAGGGGCAGCGGCGGCAGCGCTTCGAGACTCTGCTGGAGCTGATGCAGCAGGTACGGGGGGGCCACGGGGAGCCCCGAGCTGCCCGGCCACGCCCTGACCCCCTGTGTCCCCTCTCGGTGTCACTGTGTCACCTCGGTGTGTCTGTGTCACCTCTGTGTGTCACTGTGTCACTGTGTCACCTCTCTGTGTCACTGTGTCACCTCTGTGTGTCACTGTGTCACCTCTCTGTGTCATTGTGTCACCTCGGTGTCACTGTGTCACCTCTGTGTGTCACTGTGTCACCTCTCTGTGTCACTGTGTCACCTCGGTGTCACTGTGTCACCTCCGTGTGTGTCACTGTGTCCCCTCTCTGTGTCACTGTGTCACCTCTGTGTGTCACTGTGTCCCCTCTCTGTGTCACTGTGTCCCCTCTGTGTGTCACTGTGTCACCTCTCTGTGTCACTGTGTCACCTCTGGGTGTCACCTCTGGGTGTCACCTCTGTGTGTCACTGTGTCCCCTCTCTGTGTCACTGTGTCACCTCTGGGTGTCACCTGTGTGTCACTGTGTCACCTCTGTGTCACTGTGTCCCCTCTGTGTGTCCCTGTGTCACCTCTGTGTGTGTCACTGTGTCACCTGTGTGTCACTGTTACCTGTGTGTCACTGTTACCTGTGTGTCACTGTGTCCCCTCTCTGTGTCACTGTGTCCCCTCTCTGTGTCATTGTGTCACCTCTGTGTCCCTCTGTGTCCCTGTGTCACCTCTCTGTGTCCCTGTGTCCCCTCTCTGTGTCCCCGTGTCCCCATGTCACTGTGTCCCTGTGTCCCTGTGTCACCTCTCTGTGTCCCCGTGTCCCCATG